TATATATATATATATATATATATATATATATATATATATATATGATTTGGTAAAATGCTATGCCCAAGATTACTATCCGAGTGCCGGCGGTGGGGTGGTTCAAATAGCCTCGGCTATCACCTCATTTTGTCCGGTCGTGATGGTCAAGTGGATTAAAGCGTCTTGTACATACCAGTTGCGTTGCTCCTGGGAGTATGGGTTCGAGTCACTTCTGGGGTGTGAGTTTTCAGTTGCATATTGTCCTGGGGACCATTCAGGCTTGTTCGCATTTGTGTTCCTCACGTGTGCCCCAAAGAATGAGGTGATTTGGTAAAATGCTATGCCCAAGATTACTATCCGAGTGCCGGCGGTGGGGTGGTTCAAATAGCCTCGGCTATCATCTCATTTTGTCCGGTCGTGATGGTCAAGTGGATTAAAGCGTCTTGTACATACCAGTTGCGTTGCTCCTGGGAGTATGGGTTCGAGTCACTTCTGGGGTGTGAGTTTTCAGTTGCATATTGTCCTGGGGACCATTCAGGCTTGTTCGCATATATATATATATATATATATATATATATATATATATATATATATATATATATATATATATATATATATATATATATATATATATATAAATACGTTCGTATTTAATAATACATCTTTGGAAGGGTGTATTATTTTCCACCCTTCTGAAGATGTATTATTAAATACGAAAGTACTTAAGGAAATTCCTGTTTCAATTCTTCCTCCATGGTCTGACACTGTCACATTTTTCATCACTGTTAATTTTCGTGATTTACACACACACACACACACATTATATATATATATATATATATATATATATATATATATATATATATATATATATATATATATACATATATATATATATATATATATATATATATATATATATATATATATATATATATATATATATATATATATATAATGTCGTACCTAGTAGCCAGAACGCACTGCTCAGCCTACTATGCAAGGCCCGATTTGCCTAATAAGCCAAGTTTTCATGAATTAATGTTTTTTTCGACTATCAAACCTACCTAACCTAACTTTTTTGGCTACCTAACCTAACCTATAAAGATAGGTTAGGTTAGGTAGGGTTGGTTAGGTTCGGTCATATATTAGACTATTTTACAGGAACTTCTTTTCCACAGATCATAAAACGGAGGAAAGGGTCCTGAAAGATATTGTTAATAGGAACGTTATCCCTACAGACAAAAATCAGAAGATACAATTGACAATTTACTACAAAACCAAAAAAACGGCCAACCTACTCATGAAAAACTCTCCAGACCCAAAGCAGAACGCCTTAAAGGAGACCAACGTCGTCTATGCCTTCAAATGCCCACTTGGGGACTGTAAGCCTCAAAGAACTCAGTATATAGGCAAGACAACAACATCTCTTTCCAGGCGATTAACAATGCATAAGCAACAGGGCTCCATTAAGGAACATATAATCTCTTCCCACAACCAGAGAAGTCTTAACAAACACACAGAAATAATCGATAGATACAGGGATAGCAGGTGGCTTGACATCTGCGAGGCACTACACATCAAAAAGTCAACACCAGCAATCAACAGCCAATTAATGCACAACTATATTCTACCCACTTCAAGACTCTGTACAAATATAGAAGCATCAAGAGGAAGTATGGGCCAATAGGCCCTTTGTAGTTACTTCCATTCTTCTCTCTCATTTATCCAATTAATACCCATTGTTCCGTGTTCTGTCTTGTGTTGGTCAAAAGTTTGTTCACCTCTTCCAAAACTGTTACAATATGTCACCTCACCCAAATGCGAGTATACAAGACAAGCTGTTTAGCATTAGCATAAGTAAAACTGTTTAGTGTTTTCAGGTTACAGTTGTGTGTGTGTAAACTAAAGTCTTTGAAAATGTAATAAGTTATTACGAAACGCGTTCAAGCGTTTCGTCAGACTAGAAATAAAAATGAATTTTGGAGAATTGATTTTTTAATTACCATCGACAGTAAAAAAAAGAAACATAAGAAATATTGAAAAAAATCGTGTTAGAATTATTGATCTTACTTTTTCTGTCATATTTAGCAACATATGTTTACAAGTAAGACTGCTACCAAAATATACTAATATATATATATAATTAAATAAAATGAAACGGTGTTTTGGTCCGTGCTGGACCATTATCAAGACGTGTGATGGTTCAGGATGGACCGAAACTTTGTTGCTTCTTCATTTTCCGATGTTTGGTTTGGTCATCAGAGTAATAATCATTTGTAGTTATGTACTATACACTTGTAGTCTGATGCAGTGGAGCACTCGTAGGTCTACAATGAAATTTATACAGATCGAGCCACTAATACACAGAGCGTATCGATAAGTAGTTAATTTATACGTTAAATCTGTAGCACTTTTTTTTCATATAAAGCGAGAAGTATGCTAACATATCTGAATTGTTGGCTAGATTTAATAGATGCTTTACAATTGTAAGTGATATTTAGAAACTGTAGTTTTAGCAGTAGTACAGTTAGAGCACTTATTGTTAACAATAACTAGACATTATGATAGTGATCACAAGGGTGCAGAACATACTGCCTCTCTCAACACCTCTGTTTGCAACATCACGGGTTGCATTATGGCCATGTGCCCTTACAGGTTATACATGAAGTAAAGTGTTTACAGCAACAAGGCACCGCTTAAGCGTGTCGCCCCATTGCAAGGTGTCTGTTTCAGTTGAAGGTAACCCACCTGCAACACAGGCATCCAAATGAACAGTGCCGGATTACTGGTCGTATCTTGCTGAAGATGGATTTAGGCAGGGAGCAAGATACTCCGTTCACATCAAGTGTATAGCTGTGGTGCTGTCATGACCAGGCTTCGCAGATGGGGGCGGCAGTTTAATATGAGGGAGAAGGGTCCACAGTTACCACCATGTGTACTGACGTAATTATTTATTACTGCCTAATTCTATATACATAGTTTGAGACTTATCTATTTACATTAAAATGCCTTATACACAAAACTAATCAGTGATGGGTAACTGTCTCTCTGAACGATGCTTGGCCCTGACGACGGGAGTCTTAACACGGGTGTATATGATGGCTTCACTGTGCGGCTTCCTGACGCGGCCACAGTTACCACGGGGTCTGAGCAGTACCAGCCTGACACTCTGGCATCACCTGACATGCACATAACGTACTTGTGTGTGACACATGATACAGCTGCATGTGTGACGCATGACACAGCTGCATGTGTGACGCATGACACAGCTGCATGTGTGACACATGACACAGCTACATGTGTGACGCATGACACAGCTGCATGTGTGACACATGACACAGCTGCATGTGTGACGCATGACACAGCTGCATGTGTGACACATGACACAGCTGCATGTGTGACGCATGACACAGCTGCATGTGTGACACATGACACAGCTGCATGTGTGACGCATGATACAGCTGCATGTGTGACACATGACACAGCTGCATGTGTAGGGTGGCATTACCACCGACACGTCTGGTATACTCAGTGAGACTCGCCACTCAGTGCTGGACACACCAGCCTCTCAGTCTCACCACTGCTCTAGAAGACCAGTCTATAGGGTGATCACACTTCCTAACATGTCAGAAGAGAACATTTGCTGTTGTCTGCAGACTTGACACTTATTGTGTGTTCTTTTAGTCAGTCATTAAGAGTACGGCCAGTTTCACCAAAGTGTTTGGGGAGGACAAGAGGAAAACGAAATAAACACCAGCAAATTCGAAGCAGGAGAAGCAGTGTGAACCAGATTATTACGGTGTGTTGGTTTGTCCAAAGGTGAGTTTATACCAGAGCTAGACAAAGGGTATTAGTGAGATTTTTGAGCTCGGAAATGAAGGGAAGGGAGAGCACAGTGTTACTAGTGTTGGAAACCGGTTAGGATAAAAGAAAGTACTTTTAGCTTGAGAGTAGGCACAGCTGATTAAGGAATATGGAATAACCAAGGCGAGAGAAAGACTTGTAAAGAAGAGAAATTTCAGAATAAAGACATTGAGGATCACAGATGCGTAGAGCACGAAGGAAGAGAGAGACGAACACTTTTCTTACCAGAAGGGGGATGGTAGGACAAGAAGTGACTGTCCGTACCACTGTGCATAGGCTTCTGGTAGACAGACAGAGAGAGAGAGAGAGATAAGCCAAACTCAGCTGTGAACATATACATGTAGGAAAGGGAGGAATTAATTCCCATTAAGCTTTGAAAAAGATAGGATGCAGACTGTGTAGAGACGATAGAAAAGTCTGGGAAAGACTGGCCAAAGAGCAAAAATATCGACATAGTGAAGGGTGGTAAATGTCAATACTAGGAAGACGAACAGTTACGAAGTAATCATATAGAGACGCCAGAAGAGGAGAGAGAGAGAGGACATCCCTTAGTGACAGTCTGATAAGATAGAGGAAGACGTCATTAGAAAGCGGAGATGAGGCCTACATTTACCTTCTGACAAGGAGGGGGGGGGGAGAGTTATCAGGAGGAAGTGCCAAGCTATTATAACTACGTAGCACTTGGACGGGGACCAGGATGAAGATTTTAGATAGAAGGGGGGGGGGGGAAGGAATGGTTCCCAACCACTTGGACGGTCGGGGATTGATCGCCGACCTGCATGAAGGGAAACCATCGCTCTACCGTCCAGCCCGCGTCGTTTGGCCTTCTGACAAGGAAAGAGAACATAATGTGGAAAATTAGTAAATAGTTATCGTCACTCCGTCCATGAAGTCCTGAGAGTGACGAAAGTGGACATATTGTTGTTGTTGTTTTAGATTCAGCTACTGGGAACAAAAAGTACCAAGTAGCACGGGCTATGGTGAGCCCGTAGAGTGGAGAGGGGAAACGTAATCTATTTATGAGGTGTGTGGGTCTGGTGTCTAATTTTCAGCCTCGTTATTGTAAGCTAGCATCTTCAAGGATTTGTATTTTAATCTATATTGTTGTAGGTGTCCAGTACGGGCAGCATGTAAACACAGGTTTCCCTACACAGGTGTGCGCGGGGCATGAGCTCCGGGGAGGCGGGCTCCGGGGCGGGGTATGGTGGCGGCTCCGGTGGCGCCATCAAGGACGCCGGCGGCGCCTTCGGCAAGAGGGAGGTGGCCCTAGAGGAGCAGTACTACCGCAAGCTGGTGAGTGTTTACTGTGTTAGTACACTGGTGAGTGTTTACTGTGTTAGTACTCTGGTGAGTGTTTACTGTGTTAGTACTCTGGTGAGTGTTTACTGTGTTAGTACTCTGGTGAGTGTTTACTGTGTTAGTACACTGGTGTGAGTGTTTACTGTGTTGATACACTGATGTGATTGTTTACTGTGTTAGTACACTGGTGAGTGTTTACTGTGTTAGTACTCTGGTGAGTGTTTACTGTGTTAGTACACTGGTGAGTGTTTACTGTGTTAGTACTCTGGTGAGTGTTTACTGTGTTAGTACTCTGGTGAGTGTTTACTGTGTTAGTACACTGGTGAGTGTTTACTGTGTTAGTACACTGATGTGAGTGTTTACTGTGTTAGTACACTGGTGAGTGTTTACTGTGTTAGTACACTGGTGAGTGTTTACTGTGTTAGTACACTGGTGAGTGTTTACTGTGTTAGTACTCTGGTGAGTGTTTACTGTGTTAGTACTCTGGTGAGTGTTTACTGTGTTAGTACACTGGTGAGTGTTTACTGTGTTGATACACTGATGTGATTGTTTACTGTGTTAGTACTCTGGTGAGTGTTTACTGTGTTAGTACTCTGGTGAGTGTTTACTGTGTTGATACACTGATGTGATTGTTTACTGTGTTAGTACACTGGTGTGAGTGTTTACTGTGTTAGTACACTGGTGAGTGTTTACTGTGTTAATACACTGGTGAGTGTTTACTGTGTTAGTACACTGGTGAGTGTTTACTGTGTTAGTACACTGGTGAGTGTTTACTGTGTTAGTACACTGGTGAGTGTTTACTGTGTTAATACACTGGTGAGTGTTTACTGTGTTAGTACACTGGTGAGTGTTTACTGTGTTAGTACTCTGGTGAGTGTTTACTGTGTTAGTACACTGGTGAGTGTTTACTGTGTTAGTACTCTGGTGAGTGTTTACTGTGTTGATACACTGGTGAGTGTTTACTGTGTTGATACACTGGTGAGTGTTTACTGTGTTAGTACACTGGTGAGTGTTTACTGTGTTAGTACTCTGGTGAGTGTTTACTGTGTTGATACACTGGTGAGTGTTTACTGTGTTGATACACTGATGTGATTGTTTACTGTGTTAGTACTCTGGTGAGTGTTTACTGTGTTAGTACACTGGTGAGTGTTTACTGTGTTAGTACACTGGTGAGTGTTTACTGTGTTGATACACTGTGTTTACTGTGTTGATACACTGATGTGATTGAGTTTTACTGTGTTAGTACTCTGGTGAGTGTTTACTGTGTTAGTACTCTGGTGAGTGTTTACTGTGTTGATACACTGGTGAGTGTTTACTGTGTTGATACACTGGTGAGTGTTTACTGTGTTAGTACACTGGTAAGTGTTTACTGTGTTAGTACTCTGGTGAGTGTTTACTGTGTTAGTACACTGATGTGAGTACTGTTTACTGTGTTAGTACACTGGTGAGTGTTTACTGTGTTGATACACTGATGTGATTGTTTACTGTGTTAGTACACTGGTGAGTGTTTACTGTGTTAGTACTCTGGTGAGTGTTTACTGTGTTAGTACACTGGTGAGTGTTTACTGTGTTGATACACTGGTGAGTGTTTACTGTGTTAGTACACTGGTGAGTGTTTACTGTGTTAGTACTCTGGTGAGTGTTTACTGTGTTGATACACTGGTGAGTGTTTACTGTGTTGATACACTGATGTGATTGTTTACTGTGTTAGTACTCTGGTGAGTGTTTACTGTGTTAGTACTCTGGTGAGTGTTTACTGTGTTAGTACACTGGTGAGTGTTTACTGTGTTAGTACACTGGTGAGTGTTTACTGTGTTGATACACTGGTGAGTGTTTACTGTGTTAGTACACTGGTGAGTGTTTACTGTGTTAGTACTCTGGTGAGTGTTTACTGTGTTAGTACACTGGTGAGTGTTTACTGTGTTAGTACTCTGGTGAGTGTTTACTGTGTTAGTACACTGGTGAGTGTTTACTGTGTTAGTACACTGGTGAGTGTTTACTGTGTTGATACACTGGTGAGTGTTTACTGTGTTGATACACTGATGTGATTGTTTACTGTGTTAGTACTCTGGTGAGTGTTTACTGGTGTTAGTACACTGGTGAGTGTTTACTGTGTTAGTACTCTGGTGAGTGTTTACTGTGTTAGTACACTGTGAGTGTGTTACTGTGTTAGTACTGGTGAGTGTTTACTGTGTTAGATACACTGGTGAGTGTTTACTGTGTTAGTACTGTGTGTACTGGTGAGTGTTTACTGTGTTAGTACTCTGGTGAGTGTTTACTGTGTTAGTACTCTGGTGAGTGTTTACTGTGTTAGTACTCTGGTGAGTGTTTACTGTGTTAGTACACTGGTGAGTGTTTACTGTGTTAGTACTCTGGTGAGTGTTTACTGTGTTAGTACTCTGGTGAGTGTTTACTGTGTTAGTACTCTGGTGAGTGTTTACTGTGTTAGTACACTGGTGTGAGTGTTTACTGTGTTTTACTGTGTTGATACACTGGTGAGTGTTTACTGTGTTGATACACTGGTGAGTGTTTACTGTGTTGATACACTGGTGAGTGTTTACTGTGTTGATACACTGGTGAGTGTTTACTGTGTTAGTACTCTGGTGAGTGTTTACTGTGTTGATACACTGGTGAGTGTTTACTGTGTTGATACACTGGTGAGTGTTTACTGTGTTAGGTACACTGGTGAGTGTTTACTGTGTTAGTACTGGTGAGTGTTTACTGTGTTACACTGGTGAGTGTTTACTGTGTTGATACACTGGTGAGTGTTTACTGTGTTGATACACTGGTGAGTGTTTACTGTGTTGATACACTGGTGAGTGTTTACTGTGTTGATACACTGGTGAGTGTTTACTGTGTTGATACACTGGTGTGTTTACTGTGTTTACTGGTGAGTGTTTACTGTGTTATACACTGGTGAGTGTTTACTGTGTTGATACACTGGTGAGTGTTTACTGTGTTGATACACTGGTGAGTGTTTACTGTGTTTTACTGATACACTGGTGAGTGTTTACTGTGTTGATACACTGGTGAGTGTTTACTGTGTTGATACACTGGTGAGTGTTTACTGTGTTGATACACTGGTGAGTGTTTACTGTGTTGATACACTGGTGAGTGTTTACTGTGTTGATACACTGGTGAGTGTTTACTGTGTTAGTACTCTGGTGAGTGTTTACTGTGTTAGTACACTGGTGAGTGTTTACTGTGTTGATACACTGGTGAGTGTTTACTGTGTTAGTACTCTGGTGAGTGTTTACTGTGTTAGTACACTGGTGAGTGTTTACTGTGTTAGTACACTGGTGAGTGTTTACTGTGTTGATACACTGGTGAGTGTTTACTGTGTTGATACACTGTAAAATCTCGTGTACTCAATGTTATACTTCACAGGCAATTAACAAAAGAGGATTGTAGATCAAAGTATCTTATCATGAGATGATTTCGGGACTTCGCGTCCTCGCGGCCCGGTCCTCGACCAGGCCTCTTTTGTTACCCCCCCCCCCCAGGAAGCAGCCCGTACCAGCTGTCTATCTCCCAGGTACTTACTTACTGCTAGGTGAACATGGGGATCAGGATGAAAGATACGCTGGTTATTTGTTTCCGCCTCCACTGGGGATCGAACCCTGAACCTTACGACTACGAATTCCGAGCTGTCAGGCCCCAAGTAAACTACTGTAATTGTTCACTTTAGTAAACTGGCAGCAGAGTGTACCAACACACACTTGAGTTGCCAGATTGTGTACTCAAGTACACAGCAGTAAACACCATATTTGTGTACTTGGCTCTCAGCTAATTGGTGTTGTCCGATCTCCAAGATTGGCAACACCTTCGGCTTCCCGTTGTCGGGGACAGGAAGCCTTACCCAGGTCCTAGGGAAACGACTGACCTTCCACAGGATATAACCCACAACCTACCAAATTCCTAAGTATCTATTTACTGATTGGCGAACAGATGCATCAGGTGAAACGAAACTACACCTGCCCAGCTGCGAGACTCGAACCCGGGATCTTTAAGATACTGGACACGTTTCCTTATACCTGAGGATTGGTCACCTATCAGTAAATATGTACTTGGGAGTTAGAAGACTATTGTGGGTTGCACAGTGCCAGCTGGGAGCCACAGGTGGTGCACAGTGCCAGCTGGGAGCCACAGGTGGTGCACAGTGCCAGCTGGGAGCCACAGGTGGTGCACAGTGCCGGCTGGGAGCCACAGGTGGTGCACAGTGCCAGCTGGGAGCCACAGGTGGTGCACAGTGCCGGCTGGGAGCCACAGATGGTGCACAGTGCCAGCTGGGAGCCACAGGTGGTGCACAGTGCCGGCTGGGAGCCACAGGTGGTGCACAGTGCCAGCTGGGAGCCACAGGTGGTGCACAGTGCCGGCTGGGAGCCACAGGTGGTGCACAGTGCCAGCTGGGAGCCACAGGTGGTGCACAGTGCCGGCTGGGAGCCACAGATGGTGCACAGTGTCAGCTGGGAGCCACAGGTGGTGCACAGTGCCGGCTGGGAGCCACAGGTGGTGCACAGTGCCAGCTGGGAGCCACAGGTGGTGCACAGTGCCAGCTGGGAGCCACAGGTGGTGCACAGTGCCAGCTGGGAGCCACAGGTGGTGCACAGTGCCAGCTGGGAGCCACAGGTGGTGCACAGTGCCAGCTGGGAGCCACAGGTGGTGCACAGTGCCGGCTGGGAGCCACAGGTGGTGCACAGTGCCGGCTGGGAGCCACAGGTGGTGCACAGTGCCAGCTGGGAGCCACAGGTGGTGCACAGTGCCAGCTGGGAGCCACAGGTGGTGCACAGTGCCGAAGATAAAGCTGGTGGTGTTTATTATGTGTGTGAAAGAAAGCAGAGCTGGTGCCACATCTCCCAGGTAGTGTGGCGTAGTTGTTGTTGTTGCCACATCTCCCAGGTAGTGCGGCGTAGCTGCTGCTGTTGCCACATCTCCCAGGTAGTGCGGCGTAGCTGCTGCTGTTGCCACATCTCCCAGGTAGTGCGGCGTAGCTG